GAGCTCATGCTTTACTGTTTGTTAGAGACAACAATGGTCTACAAAGTTACCTGCTTGTATATTTAGACGATATTATAATTACAGATGATTCGGATGAAGAGATAGCAAAGGTTGTAACCCTGTTAAGCTCAAAGTTCTCTTTGAAATACTTGGGAGAGCTGAATCATTTTCTCGACATTGAAGTGAAAAAAATATGAAGATACTTTAGCCTTCAGCCATTTTCAGGGATTTCTATTGTGGTTTCGGTCACATTTTTTGTTGTGTTACGTTTAACACGATTGTAGACATTACGGGCATTATTACGGTGATTGCGGATATTACGATCATGCAATAACGATTTTAGACGACACCAATACCGTTATATAACATACGCTATTACAATAGCAGTCCGCTATTTTAATCCCTCACTCGACATATTGAAACTACTAAAGTTACTAAGAAGGAACAAGCCAAGCTTATGCCTACACCAACAGTTGCTTACTTAAAGCTAACACAAAATGAATCAGATGTCAACTTCTAGATGCTAGAGAATATTGTAGCATTATGGGTGCGTTGCTGTATGTTTGCCGCATTAGACCGGGCATTGCTTTAACTGTGGAGAAGGTAGTAGAATTCACGCATGCCCCGTGTGAAACTCATCCTGTTTCTGTTCTGTTTCTGTTAAGAGAACTGTCGAAACCGTCTTTCGGTTGGGCCCAGAATCGGGCTTCGACTTAGGAAAATAGATTTGGAGTCGCCACCGACTATTTTAAAACGAATTTGGTGGGTCGGACACCATCTTACCTGATCTGCGTTGTACCAGAAACGTGTCGGGTTCGGGAGTCGGTTACGGTCAAGGAAGGATTAGCACCCTTGAACCGCCCTTTCAGTACCAATTAATTTGTCGGTTCTCTTAGTTGCGAAAATTTAAAATTTAAATTTAAATTTAAAACATCGATTTGAATAATTACCTTTGATCGATTGAAATTACTACAAAAAAATATATGTTAGATGAAATTAAATAAAATAAATAAAATTAAATAAAAATGAATATTAAAGAGAATGGTAAAATGAAAGGTTTGAGGACTGAATAATAATTAAACCTAAACGAGATGGTGACTAAAATGTAAAACAAGGTAATATAATAAGGACCTGAATATGATTAGACGCAAAAAATTGGTGGTCAATGTGTAAAAACAAGACAGAAATGGAAGGGCTTAAACATGAATAGACCAACACTTTAAGCGATCAATATAAAACATGGTAATAAATGTAAGGACTTAACTAAGATTAACCCAAAATTAAATTAAAAGTAATTCTCCTCTCCAAATAATCTGCAGAATGCGTGTAAAGCCAAATTAAAAAGGCTTTCCCTTTTCCTTTATGGGTTTTCTCATTTTTTTTTATTCATAAAAACAAAGAACCAACCGACAAATGAGAGTGCAAAATCAACAGATCTGATCAAATTCAACGAAAATATAAAGTATTCCAGTGTATTGGATAAATATAAATCTACAAGAAGAGAAAGAAATAAGAGAGGTGAAGCAGGAAAAATAGAAATACAAATTTGTGTCGCCGTTGCTGGATACTTTTTCAAATCTCGTAAGTCACAGTCCGAAACTGACTCTCTCTTTTTCTTTTTCGATTGATTTTTCTTTTGGTTTTTTCAGTATTTTCTCTGGGTTTTGTATTCCAAATCTCTCTAATATTCCCTCGAAATGCTTTTGTATTTTCCGTTCGAATGAATATATTTTTTTGTTCGGTGTTTTGTTCCACCGTATTTTGTCCCCGAATGCTCTCCTTATTTCGTATGATTTTGCCTCGTAATCTTCTTCTCCCTAGTGTGTGAATTTACATCAATTTATAGGAATGAAATTCCTATTTTTAGACTCGATTGAGTGTTTCACTTTGAGTATAACTAATGCTTGGTGTTTGTTTCTTGCGCCGGATGTTGTGGACACGATCGGGTTGTTGCTGAGGCGCGAGACGTGCCGTCGTGATTCATGTGACGCTGGGGTGATGAGTTTGGGCTCCAAGTCAGCTGCTGGTCATCAGACGGGTCTACTGCTGTGCTACCTGCTGGACCAATGTTGGTGATGGTTCACCCCTTGTAAAAATATTGGGCTTGAGCCTGTAAAGCAAATGAAAACAAATTTAAATATAAATGCATATATTATATAATATGATTTATAATGTAAATATATTATATAATACTATAATATTAGAGGACGAAATTAGGTATCTACAAGAACATTAAGGTATTTAAGAGGAACCCTGATCATTAATGGTCTAGTGTTCACCTCACCCGAGCAACACCCTAATTTGGTAGCCTTTGTCGATACAGACTGAGGAAGAAACATTGATGATAAAAGACCCGTTTCAGCCTGCGGCAGATCCATACTTTGTTCACTCTTAATTTTGATTTTTCTTCGAATAATTATTTATTTTATTGATTATATTCACCTTAAAATTTCATTTTATGTCAATTTCATATAAGTGGTTATTATATATCATGTCCACCTTTAAAAATATTTCTAGATCCACCACTGATTTCGAGCTTTAGGTCATCGTTAATGGCTTCGAAATCTTGGCCACCGTTGTGTTCTAAAGTTTGCATGATTTTCTTCCGGATGGATATCAGTTTAGGAGTGAACTTAAGACATGGAAAGCAGCATTGCGCCGAGAAGTCGAGTCCAACTGTCTTACCTACCAAGGAATCAAGTGGCGCTGCAGATGAAATATATACGATTGAATCAAGACAGAACAGGGGTACACAGATCCCAGATCATCATCCCACACCAACAGATGCGATCTCTAAGATTATGTTCCCATGCTCCACAGCACAAGAACCTCAAGGTCAGTGCCTTAACCTTAAAAAAAATATCAATTATTTACACAGATAAGAATAGACATGTTAAGCAATTGAGTACTAGTAATTAATACTTCATTTTAGGATATCATATATGTTTTATTTATCAAAAGGAATGCTTTTGAGTTTCTATTTCTTATAATTAGATTTGTAAATGAGATGAGATAGATCGTGAGTTATTTGAATTTGATTCGATCAAAGTTTGATAAATATTTGACCGAGTTCTTAATGAGCCAAAACAAATTACTTGATACTCGGCTCAAAAAGCCCACGATGAACTCAAAAAGTAACTAAATCTAATGATTTGAGAAAATTCTTAGTGTGAATAATTAAGGTAGTTTATTTTGATTAAATTCAAAATTCAATTACTCTAAATCATTGTGAAAATTATTTCTGTCTTTCAATTACTTCCTCAAAATTTTAAAGAGGCAATTTATCCTTTCCCTTAACATTATTCAGTTGATCGATTGACACATTAAACGTTTAATAATCGAGTTTACTAACAAAATTTGAAAGCTTAATGATGAAATTATTTTTAAAAAAATTAAATGCCCAAAACAAAAATATAGGTAAAATTGAGTGAAAAAATAATTTACCCAAACATTTACATACTTAGTGACTTAAAATATGCTTCACTTCGTTATAATTAGGGTAATTAGGGATGAACGTTTAATTTCTAATGAGTTTTGATCTAAATGAGATAATATTATAGTTATTTTTTATATATTTATGGAAAATCGTAATAATATTTTTATATATAGTTTTTAATTAGATTGTAGTTCTATTAAATAAAAATAAAATTTTATTTTATATATAATTGTATCGTATCAAATTTCAAATAAAGCAAAATTTTTCTAAATTTTATTTTATATATTTTATAGCTTTCCTAAGGTATCGATACCCTACAGCTATTTCATTCATTTACCCCAACTTTAAACACCTTCTATAGCACTTATTCTAGTGTTTTACACCTATTCGATCTCATTTATGGTCATACTATAGGTCTAGGGCCTCTCGGACAACGTTTTGAGCAAAACATACTGAAAGTATCGATACTCTTAAAAAGTTTCGATACTTTATTTAAGTATCTATACTTTTAAACATTCTGTTCTGCCCAGTTTCGAAACTTTATGGGAGTTTCGAAACTATGACCCAAAGTTTCGATACTCTTGAAAGATTATCGATACTTTTGCCTAGAAACTCACGAATCTGCCCAAAACGAAGAACAAGTATCGATACTATCCCTATAGTATCAATATTCTACTACATAAGTTATAAAACACATACGAAAAACTCTATTTCTCAATCTCAAAGACCTTAGTGAGGTCCCCAAACATGCTTAAAGTTTTATGTGATTACAAGGAGAATAAATGGCTTTATATCATGCTTATAACACAAATCATGTAATCTACCATTAACATATAACACTAAGCTTCATAACTTATTCTCAAGCTAGAACTCAATGATCACTAGGAGTATGAAAGAGTTATGAGTGTGTTACCTAGCCTATGGTTGCTAAAATCTCCCTCAACTCAACTAGGAGTCACCTTACCTTTATCCTTTTCTTTAGAACTTCACCCACCTCATTGGCTAATCAAAACAAAACTAGGGGTTACTAACTTGACTTTGACTTGGAAACCAAGTTAAAACACTCTATACTACTTAATATTACTTAAAACAAGCTTAAATCTCTAGGTTCCTTTCAAACTCCCAAAAACCCATTTTGAAAACAAATTCTAAAACTCACAAAATGGAGCTTGAAACAAAGCTTGATGTAAGGAGTGAAACATTCTTACCTTGACTTAACAAATCTAAGATTTGAATGCTTGAACTTAGCTATTGAAAGGAAAAAAAATGGAAACTAATGGAATGAAGAAAAAGAAGAGTGGGTGAGATATTAGGGGGTTGATTTACGTGAATTGATATAAAAAGAGGGGTAAATATAGCTTCAACAAAATGGGTAAACTATAATTTAGGTCCCTCACCTATTAACTCACTTTAAAACTATCTATTAGCTTTAACTCTTGGGCCTACCTTAGGCCCAACACTTATATAACTTGGTCCAATTATCTTGGGAGGTCTAATTGGCTTGAATTAAAGGTTTCGAGTTGATTTAAATTACTAAATTGGGTTTTGGGGTTTCACGCCATTTGTCTCAACTTTGTTTTGATAGTATACCAAACAAAAACTCAGTTGGAATGCAATTATTGGAGGTTATGCAATGCATGGTAAGGCCAAGGAAGCTATTTATTATTTTCATTTGATGCAATAGAAAGGGCACAAGCCTGATTTCATCAGCTTTAGTTGTCTATTATCTGCATGCAACCAGGGTGGCCTTATAGAAAAAGGTTGTCATTTTTTTAATAGCATGTACAAAGACCATGGAATTGAAGCAAAAATGGAGCACTATTCCTGCATGGTAAACCTTCTAGGTCGTTCAGGAAAGCTAGAAGAAGCGTATGCCATGATCAAGCAAATGCCATTTGAACCACATGCTTGCGTTTGGGGAGCTTTGCTTAGTTCTTGTAGGCTTCACAATAACATTCATTTAGGCGAGATTGCTGCAAGGAATCTCTTTGAATTAGAACCAAATAATCCTGGAAATTAGATCATTCTTTCAAATATATATGCATCTAAGGTCATGTGGGATAAAGTAGATGCTGTGAGAGATGTAATGAGGAGTAGGAGCATGAAGAAGAACCCTGGTTGCAGTTGGATTGAGATCAAGAACCGAGTGTACATGCTTCTTGCAGGAGATAAATCAAATCCACAAATGACTGAGATTATTGAGAAGTTACATGAATTGAGCTTGGAGATGAAGAAAGCAGGTTACCTACCGAATACCAACTTGGTATTGCAAGATGTAGATGCGCAGGACAAGGAGCAGATCTTATGCGGACATAGTGAGAAGTTAGCAGTAGCCTTTGGGCTTCTGAATACTCCTCCGGGCTCTCCACTGCAAATAATAAAAAATCTCAGAATATGTGGTGATTGTCATGCGGTTATAAAATTTATATCTGGTTTTGAAGGGAGAGAAACATATGTCAAAGACGCAAATCGATTTCATCATTTTAAAGATGGAGTTTGTTCCTGTGGGGATTACTGGTGAACAAATTTTATGACTTAAGTTTTAGTATGCAAGTCTTCTTTATCTTTACTGTCGAAAAGAATGAACCAAATTACCAGCAATACTTTTATACTAGATCATCTTATCTAGCATTCTAGCTAGTAATGGTATTAAATGCACCCCAAAAAAAAACAGTGGAGTAAACCGAAATCTGCCCGGAAAGGATCATAAACATCTTATCTCAGTTTCCTTTGAAAAAAAAAAATCATGATGGATATGTTAACTCATGAATTGATGGTTCATTTGTACTCTTTGCAGGTGCTTTAGTGAATGTTGGTGCGTAAAGAGAAGTCACGAGTTAATCACAGCAGATTACTGTACTCCCATCAGTGGTTGTCATACCTCAATCTTCCATGCTTTTCCTTTGATTCTCGAAAATGGGGTTTCAAAACATCCAAGCTTTTAATGAAACATGCTTCACCTTGAGTGGCCTCAGTTCAGCTATCATTTATCAGGCGGCTTGTAGTCTCACACTGGTACTCTTCCCGTACTTTGTACTGCGGCAATGTTAGGACAGGAAGGAGCTTCAGTGCCTCTATTATGCCGTCCCATGAGCACAGAACTTATTAATTTTGGAAAGTGATGTTCCGAAGAGTGGGTGTAATTATAACTTTATAAGTTAGATTTTGACGTGAATTCTTCTTGCTCTATACTTTAAATGTTTTTGCAGCAAAATGCTATAAATTGATGTTGAATTGTTAATTTCATTCTTGACCAAGAAGGGATTGTTGCCTCTGAAAGCATTCTAAGTACAACTAATATGAAGTGGTTACAGCTTGGCGGAGGGACTCTAGCTACTGCTGCATGTATAAATCTTCCCTTGCTGAAAATTTGTCATTTCTTTCAGTACCACTGCTGTTGAAGTTCCATGGTATAAGAAGCTGTGATGTTACGGCCACGATTTCTTCCATTTTAAAGTAAATACTTACCATCTTTTGGATGCTTGCTACATTTGCTGGTCTAATTTTATTCGATTAGAGTCGGAAAATGGAACTAATTTCTGGTTAAAGCTGAGGTTATACGCAAACATCTGTCAACGATGTTAACCAATCTGTGTGAGACACTTGACCTTTTGTTCCATATGTGAAATCAAGTTATATTTCAAAGGAAGATTGGACAGTGATCAAGAGAAGCTTAAAGCATGATTTGTTGGTTCGAACTTATCCGCAATTGGTATGGTGCTCGGAATTATTACAAAAAGGTAATCCTCTAAAACATGTAGTGCATTTTATTTTGTGCCAAGAGGTGGATACTTGCAAAAGAAGTTGAAATGAAAAAAGTGAAATGGGATATTGATTAAATACTGGAATGAGGGAGTTGTTTAAACTTGTCTTTTGCATGGGACCGGACATAACCTAATAATAGGAAGTTGCGTGTGTATCCTTTTGCCCATATTGCTCCGTTAAGATCCTGACATCTGGGGACTAAACCTGAATAATTTTCTCCTTTTTTTCTTCCGTGTTCATCATTGAAATCATAAAAGTTAGACGGACCAATATTGTTATATGGGTAAATAATCATGAAATCAGGGGACAGGAAAATCGATTCAGGAGAAGCCTCTCTCTCATCTCAATCTCAAAGCTGAGCTTCATTGATCTGCTGCCGATGGAGTATGGATCCACAACTTTTTGATTGGTTAACATTTGTTTTGTTTTTCATTCACGCCATGTGGCATGTTTGCAATTTTTTGAATTATTTGAATTCAAAAATCTGTACGAAAATATAAATCTATTTTTTATATATAAATTATTTGTGTATTATTATTGAATTTGAATCCAAATCAAATAGTATCCGTCTGTCAGCAAGAAATATGAATTTAATCTTACATCATATTTAATATCATAGATTATTGCTCGAGTTATTTAATTTTTAAGAAAAAAGTTTTGTTTTAAACTTTGTTTTGTTATAAATATAGAATATGTGGTAACTTTTAAAATAAAAAGTTAAATTTTGAGTCATTATACATGGAATCATTTAATTTGAGGGTTGAGTTTATTTTAATCTATTAAAATTAGGATCAAATTGATAGAATATATAAGTAACAATGACCAAATGTGTAATTATACCAAATATTTTAACTGTCACATCAGCTTCTTCGTTAAATATTAACGGTAAGTGACTTAATTGAATGTATTTAAATAATTGAGTGACCTATTTGACAATTTCAAAAATATTGGTCAAATTGAAAAAGGGTAATAATTAGGTGGTCACTGGTATAGTTTAACCTTTATTTTAAATAATTTATCTTTAAATTTTTAACTAATTTATAATTATACATTGAGTCTTTTAAAATTTAAATTTTTATAAATTAAATTAATGGTGCTCGTTGTTAGTGGTAACTACTTGTCAAGTGTAGAAAAATCATCCATATCTAATTTTGCACAAATCTGAATTCATTAAAAGTTTGATGACCAATGTTCGAATTTTCTTACAGGCAAACATATATCGTTTAAATTGTTTTTTTAGGTGTTACGTGAATACTTTATCTTGAAAAGTTCGTTAAGAGATTGAGTCGTCATTGATCGTCTTGAGTTAGGTAAGATCAAATATTTATAAAATTATCTTTTTAAAATTTCTTTTAAAGGGTCTCTTTGGGGAAAAAAATGATTTTGGAGGTATACAGTTAATGAAAAAAATATTGATCGTGAAAAAAATTAAGGGGGCATTTGGATCAAGGAAAAAATTATTATCAATGAGAATAATCTTTTTCGGAATTATATACCCACGTTTGATTTAAAAGCATTCCCACCAAGAGGTAAAGAAGTATTGCCAACAATATTTCCCCCTTACATTTCTGGGATTCTCATTCCCTTGTAAATCTTAGGTATTTAACAATTCTAATCGAATTGGACAGAAATACCTTTAAAATAAAAGAAATATTTCAAAACTACATTTTCTTTTATGATTGTTATTTTAAGTTGTAACCTATTTTATGGTTGTCATTTTAAGTTACACCCTATTTTATGGTTGCACCACTTTTCAAGTTGCACCACATTTTAGGTTGCAACTCTTTTTATGTTGAAACTATTTTTTAAGGTGATGGGTTCCTCACATAATAGAACTCATACCCAACAGTAAGTTTATAAATATTATATAGATTTTTTATTATTATTTATATTAATTTTGTCAAATAATTTATTTATGTAGAAAGTTTATTAAAAATATATAAATAAATTTATTAAAAATTTTAATAAAAATATATATTAAATTATTTGTATATAACTTTTATTAAAAATATATAAATTAGAAATAATAAAAAGTATATTTTCTTTGAACTTTCATTTGTTAAAAAAGAAAATTATCTCAAGGGCAATTTGTTAAAAGATACATTTTTCTTATCTTATATTCCTTCATCCAAACACTATAATCTTATATTCATGTCAAACAAACCAAACAAGATAATAAAATATTCCAAGTAATATGTTAAGTGATGTAATATTCTATTTTATATCCTCTGAATCAAACCCCCAAAAGGATTTCATCACGTCCAAAATTTGTCACCTTTAAAAAGTGAATGTTGTCTTGTTTTAAAAACAAGATGAATGACAATGAAAAGGGTTATATAACAACTAATTTGATATATCCCAAATATGAAAGATTTGAGTGTCACATAGACCTGGTAAACTTGATCCAATTACTCGAATCAATTAATCCGATCTAATATCCGATATATACCCAAACATGATAATTAAACTTGATCCAAAATTCGATCTATACCTGACCCGAACTAAAACCGATCCAAATTTTAGTTGAACCAATATGGACTCATATTCAATTTGATCCGAATTGAAAATAACTCGAATCAAAATTAACCCGAACCGAAAACAATCTGAATCGAAATTAACCCGATCCGAAATTAACTCGAACCGAAAGCAACCTGAACAAAAAACAACTCAAACTGAAAGCACTCCGGATTTAATTTAACCAAATCCAATTCGAACCGAACATTGACCCAACTTTTAACCCGATAAATGAGTAAAAGTGACTAAATAATTTAATGTTATTATATATTTGTTAACAATATGATGAATAGTAAAATAATGCATGTTTTATTCTTTTTTTTTACATTATATTACTAGTTAATCACAACTTTGATAATAGTTTAATAACCACCAATATTATGTTTGATAATAATTTAATAGTTTATAATTTTCTCTAGTTTAAAAGATCATCTCCATATTTGTTCCGATAATTTTAAAAAAATTAAAATTATTTGATATGAAGTATTATAAAGTCAAGTTACTACCTAAAATTTTATTTTATATGATTAAATTTAATTATCATTAGGAGGCGACACCTATATACGATGGTCGCTCTGTAGCTGGCGTCGGGTTTTCTGGGTTGATGTTTTTCTGACTGAGAGAGAATGAAAAGAGGTCGGGATGTTTTTTTAGGTTAAAAATGAAATAAAAAAAATGGTTGGTTTTATAGTCAAAACTTTCCGGAAAAACAACGTTTAAACCCTTTGAAGTTCGCCACGTTTTTAAAAAATAGCCATTGTTTTTTTAATTTTATTTTTGAATTGGATTCGATGTTTTTCTTGTTTACATTTCAGTCATTTGCTTGTTTCTTTTATTTGTTGTAAATTGTGCACTATTTTTTATTATTTATTTTAATTTTACTACTAACCTCTAACTTGCAAACGCTAATTATTTATTAACATACTAATTGCTAACTTACTAACTTTTATTATCGAATTTGAATTATTCTACGACCTTGTGGTGAGCTGCTCTAGGCTAAGATCCGCATTATTTATGGTCTAAATAAAATTTTAAAATAACCACTAACTTCTAACTCATTAATTGTTAACCTTAAATTTTGTTCGATTAACATTTCAGTTATTTACATTTATACATTTTATTTTTCTGTTATTTACATTTCTTTCTTTTAATTTTTTGTACTTTAATTTCTGCCCTTTAAATTTTCAGCATTTATATTTCAGTCCTTTTTAAAAAAATTCTGCATTTACTGTTCTGTTGTCTTTTAATTTGAGCTTTGCATTTTATCGTATTTCATTTTAGCCTTCATGTTATTTTTAGCTTTATTTTATTTCCAGTACATGTAATTTATTTCATTTTCATTTTAGCCCCTATACTTTATATTAGTATACCTTATTTTTTA